TATTTTCAGTAATAATTTAGGTTAATAGTTTACCAACAGAGCTAAATAAACCTTGCTGACTGCCTCTTCTAAATGTCTTGGTCATGCAGGAGTTAAATATACAGAAAGCTACAGAATGCTATTATTTTAGAGCCCTGTGAAAATGTAATTTGATTAGTCTATTGGACGATATTCCAAAGAACCAAATGTCTTCCATGAATCAGTCAGAAATGCTTAGGAAAACCAAAATAAAAATTGCTTTCTAAGCCAATAAAGGTGCTAATTAGTGCCTTCTGCATATCTCACTACATCTTCTCCAGTAATACATTTTGCAGGGTTAAGTGCGGTGTCTGCTGCTTCAGATGGCAGAAGTCCACTTAACAGTAGGGGGGGTGGCTGGAGACTCAAGTATCTAAAAGAGAATCAGAACTGGCATTTTAACCCATGTAATGGGATGTTTTGAGTGGAACAGGAAAAAAAAAAATTCTTGCTTCAATTTTCTTCCAAATCAACCCTTTGGAAACTTGGGGATAGTAGGACCGTTTCTTTCTTTCTTTCTTTGTAATTCCAATGTATTTGTAGAGCAAAATCTGATTTTAAAAACCTACTAAGGGTATCTTGGGAGAAAATGAAGAGAGTATCAAAACCAAGCCCAAGCATCCAAGCATGTGAGTGTGGAATTGAGGGGACCTACACAGCAGGGCTTTATGTGGTAAATACAAGGCATCCTCTACCCTCAGCCTCACAAGACTGGTGCCTGCAGAAGCTGGAGAAAATCCAGGGTAACCGAAGCAGTCTGTCCTATTATGGCATCCCCTAGGTGCCAAATTCTTGCTCTGATCACAGGTGGCAAATTCAAGGGTTCCAGGAGCCAGGCAGGTCCCCACTCATGAGCCAAGCAGTAGGGTAGAGATGGCAGAGAATGTAAAATGCCCTCAAGAGATTGCTGTCCTGAAGACATGGCCGGTCCTGCTGGATCTTCTCAGTTTTAAGGAAAGTCTAGGAATCCCACTGCTGGTGAGAACTGGGCCACCAGGCTGCGCCTCAGCTTCAGGTACATTCTTGAAGACACACAAAGGGAGGCAAGGACTGACCCTCACAAGCCTATCCTCAGGCTGCAGAAAACTTACCTTACAAATCAGCAAAATGGAGAAAAACAAAACAAAACCACAAAAACCCACTAGTGGACAAAGAAGAATTGTTTCACACTGTCCTATAAAGACTATCAAGTTCCTGGATCCCAATGATGGGGAGATGAATCGCTGCCTCCACCATCATCAGGAGGTGAAACAATAACCATGAACATGACACTTGGTCTTGCAGAATTCAGGGAGCCTAGGAATGCCAAAAGGCGAGCAGATATTGGACCTAGTATTTTTTTTTTTTTGTGGGTCCCTCACCGGTGGCTGGGGAATGAACCAGCACTGCAGAGGCTGCGGGCAGCCTCGCAGCCCAGCGTTCAACCGCTGTGCCACCAGGGGAGGCCCCGAACCTAATAAATTTTTAATAATTTTTAAAATTGGGCTTATTTTTGTAAGTTCAAAAATTTATATCAATTTTTCCTGGAGTGGTTTTCTTAAAACATCCAAGCTTGGCAGCAGAGAAGTCTGAGTCTGAATGTATGGGATGGAGATAAACATAATTTTTAACAAGATCAAGAAGGAAGAGTATAAGAAGTCTAGCAATGGGTGTAAGTTGTGTCTGTAGTCAGTGAAGCTGGGATTCAAGTGAGGGGAGTTAAACATACCTCTTGCCCCATAATTGTCAATGATGACTGGGCCTTATAAGCTGTAATGTGTAATGTGAGCAGGCCCTGTCCCCAGCTGGTGCTAAAACTCTGTAATACAGACCTTCCTGAGTAACATCAGGTCAGAAACAACAGCCTTCTCTCTCCCTCACTCACACTGTGATCTAGCCAGGTCCACCTTGCTCATTCCACAGAAAACATGTTGCCATTAGGGGCTTCTTTCTCTCTTTGGGGTTTCTCTCTGGACACCAGATTGCTCTTGAACATGGATGGCAGGGCAGCAGTGTGACCACTAGAATCCCACAAAGATGCCCTGGGTGAGGGCTGTGGATTTTTCCGGGTGACTAGATTTTCTGCAGGGCTAGGATTTTTTGAAAACTCAGCAAGGCTGAGCTAATCTTCTCATCAATATCTGAAAATGGATCATTTTCTCTCTGACAGTTTGAGCAATTTGCTGTGGCCACCATGCCAGACCACTGGCCTGTATGTGCACATTCATTTACATGTTCTAGAAATCCAAAGTGACATCAGAAAACCAGAATAGGCTGGGGTAGTGGCAAAAATGCCATCAAATCCCCAAAGAAAAATGAAATATTTTCAGAAAGCAGAAATGCCCAGAAACCCCAGAGTTTTCTAGATAAGCTAACCAGGCACACATGGAACATGCTTTTATAAATTATATACAAAGCAGTATTGGAGGAGGGGGTGATAAGAAGGGAGGCAGGGAGATACAGAAAAATTTTACTTAAAAGATATTTTACCTTACACTTTGAGCAGCTTACTATTTAATTCATCATGGCATTAAGTCATTATACCACGACTGTTGAAAATAATGATGTGTTTGCATCTATAACATGGTTAACAAGGTGGCAAATCAGCTTTTTCTCATGTGACAAATTCAATAACTTGGCAATGACTTTATGGTTCGAGAAGTTCTGAGACTGAGTTGCGTTTGAATTAGCTGCAATGGATTAGCAATGTCTGCTTGGATGAGAGACTTGGTATTCGAGAGCAGATATTTTTCACTCTGAATGCTGGAGGTGCCACACCAGTTGAAATAAGAGCCAAAAGAAAGAACACTCCCATTTCAACTATTAGAATTTTGCAAAATAACTCCTCTACCAAGACCCTGGTAGTAAAACCACTGGTGTAAATGGGCATAAATACAGGAGTTTGGGTTTTAAGCTCATTTCTAACTTGGTGCATAAGTTTGAGAGAGACATTGTATTTTAAATAACATGAATATTTCTCACCAGATGTCACATAGGGCATTTAAGAAATGTCACATATATATCTTAACAATGGTCATTCACCTTGATATTCCATCTTCAGTAGTGGCTCTCTGGAATGTTTCATGAAGAAGTTGTACATTTTTCTCAAGTTAACAACTTAGAAAGTTTAGATATGTACCCAGAGTTACTGTTTTTCACAAAAACCCACCTGTCACCCTTATTCTAAACAAAGGATGACAAATAAGCTTTGTCTTACTTCACTTTGTTGTCAGCAGCATTCCCAACAGTTTTGAGAGCCCCTTAGGATCTGTGAGAATGATGTGACTGATTAATGATGTCTACTTCAGGAACAGGCATGAGAGTGATGGCCCAGGGGTCACATATAGACATATATATATATATATATATATATATATATATACACACACACACACCCCCTATTTAAACCTTTATCATGAGATATCTATTTTACCCTTTAAGACTGGTGACAGAGTTCCATTTGTTTTGAAAGGCAAACATTTGCTGTATCTGTTCTCTCATCACTACTTCCTCACATCTCAATAATATACAACCAGTCTGTTTGTTTTTCCAAAATATCTCCCAACCTGCATTATCTTTCTTATTGTGAAAAACAAGTTCTCACAGAAGTGCTGGATGGCCATACTTTCCAGTTTACACATCTCACACATTTGCATCCAAGAGAGCTACAAGAGAGGGGAAATAAGAAGACTGATGAAGCTTCTGTGGACTTTGCCTGTCTTTGTAACATTTCCTCCTGCAGATGTCTGCCCCATATCATGTCATGACCAGGGTTCTGAACAGTCCAGGGCTCCTTATGGGCCTCATATCCAGCATTTAGCTTTTCTAGCCTGTCCTCAGCACCACTACCAGGCAAATGGACCTTCAGCATCTTCTTTCTTGCATTTACTTGTTTGTTCTTAAAAGTTTGATGGTTCTTCATATCCTGACATTACCTATAAACACCTCATTTTGATTTTTATTTATTTATTGCTATTTTTATTTATTTATTTTTTAAGATTTTATTTATATATTTTTACATCATTGTTCATTTTTAAAGAATTTTATTTTTATATTCCCTATACAATTGCAACCCCCTTATTTTGACCTCAACTCCTCCTTCCCCGCCACCCCCCATAGTGTGTCTCTGGTTTGTAGTTGTTTGTTGATTTTGATTTTTTCTTTCTTCATTTTGATTTTTAAATAAGCTACAAGACCTTCTGTTGGCAGCGTGGTGTTTTGAAAAGAAATGACAGCAATAAATTAAAATAAGCCATGACATCTCCTAGCCATGAGAATTTTATTCAATTTCTCTGAGCCTGTTTGCCTCTCTTTTCAGTGGGAAATAATACTTATTTCTTGGATTTGTTGTGAGAATTAAAAGATATTTTTCACAATAACATTGCCTCACTTGAGATTAAGGCAATAGTATATTCCTGGATCTGCTACTTTTGAATGTGATCATGGGTTCATTATTCAGCTTTCATGAGTCTTAATTTTCTTATCTGAATAATAAGGATAGGTCAAAAATTATAAGGCAATTGTAAAAATTAGGATGGAAGTTGCTCAATAAATATTGTACTCTTGTATTCTTTGACTCATCCTTGCTTCTCAGTTAAATGTATCATGAGAGAATATCCGCAGTTCCCTATGATATTCCCAGATTAGCCATATCCTTGTGCTTTGCACTTGCTATAAACACTTTTCTTTCATGCCAATTCCTCTTTTTTCATTCATCAAAATCTCCCCATTCTTAAAAATCTAAGACACATACCACTTTCTTCATGAAACCTTTGCTGACTATTTCCTCGCCACTGACTTCCCTCTTCACTAAGCAAATACCGTATTTCTTCAAGTGCTTGTCACACAGTTTAGCCCTCAATTGCATTCTGTCTTGTTCACTGCAGAAAGACCTTGTATCAGTTTCAGAGACGGAAATCAATTCCACATTGTTCATTTGAGGATAAGAAAATCTTCCATGAGATAAAAGAAATTAAGTGTATCTCCCCTTTCTTTTTTTGCAGGTTCTTTGCCTGAACTAGGAATGGTTCAAATGACTGTGAAAGAATACATGAGGTAGGTGGCAGAGGCAATGACATTTCACTCCAGGATTTCACGGCTGTGTCTTTGTCAATGAAATGGGAGTGGGGGGCCTCCCCTGGTGGCGCAGTGGTTGTGCGATGGGTTGCGAAGCTGCCCTCAGCCTCTGAGGCGTGGGTTTGATCCCCGGCTGCTCCCCGGCCACCAGAGGAGGGTCCCACATGGCGCGCAGACCTCTCCTGCAGCCCGCTGCTCCCCTCAGCAGTGTACTTCGGTCCTTCTGCCTGCTCTGCTCCCCACTCTGGCTCTGGTGAATTCTCTCACCCTCCCGCGCTTCTGACTGTACCCAGTGCTTGTATAAATAAATAAATAAATCTTAAAAAATATATATATTTAAAAAAAAAAAAGAAATGGGAGTGGGGAGGTTTCTTAATGTCATAGATCTTGGCATCTTGTCCCTTGATTAATCACAGTGTCTAGACTCCAAAACCAGGACAGTGCCTGGGTACTTCGCTGAACTTTCCAAAATGAGGTGCAATACTTCAATCCAGTGTGAAACAGGGATTATGGCAGACCTAATACAAGCTGAGGTCAGGCAGTGAAAGAAAGGATATCTTCTGCTTCTCTTCAAGACTCACAGCAAGCTCAACTGTCTGTTGAAACCAAAGTCTATTGTTCAGATCCGTGCACCTTCTCAGTTTTAAGTATGGAAGCAACTGAACAAAGAAAAGGCAAGGCCCAGTCATTCTTACTAAGTGGGGACAAAATTAAATCAAGTTCAGTTGCCCAGGTAGGAAAACTTAGTTTCCTTAGAAAAATTGCAGGGTCTCCCCAGTGGCGCAGCTGGTTGAGTCCCATGCTGTGAAGCTGTCCACAGCTTCTACAGCGCAAGTTCGATTTCCGGCTGTCCAGGGAGAAACCCACATGGTGCAGCAGACCTCTCCTGTCTCGCCCGCTGCTCCCCTCAGCAGTGTCTTTGATCCATCTGCCTGTTCTTCTCCCTGCTCTGTCTCTGATGAATTCCCTCACCCTCCTGTGCCTCTGACCTGTACCCCAGTTCTTCTATAAATAAATCAATCTTTAAAAAAAAAGAAAAAGAAAAATTGCTATCTATAGTGTATTTTTTGATAAACTCCAATTTTGTGCCCATTGGCTATTGTATGTTTAAACTACATGTATCTAGGTATAGCTGATCTATATAAAATGGGACTATATTACATAAACAGTGTTCCATTATGTTTGAAAGTGCTTTCAAATATCTTGTAATGCCAGCCAATTTGGACAGAGGGACACTCACTTTTGCAGTAGCACAGGAGTTTTATACCTTTGCATATGGATACAGCACTTAGAGATTGTTAACCACACTGTACGAAATCCTCTACCACCAAGAGATTTAATGTGGTGTCGCTTCAGTGGCTGCTCACTGTACCTCTTTCACCATGTAATTTTAACTTCTTCCTGAAAGTTGGTGCCTAGCAAAGCTGTGTTCCTGAAAGGATTCCTAATGATTTGCCATCTGTCAAAAGTGAGACATTCTATCACCTTTATAATGAGCACTAGCCAGCACCTAACACTTAAATTCTCACACCTTCTGTAACACTAGGCTCTTGAAAAGAGATGCAACTCTTCTGATGCATGCTCTCTTCTTCAAAGGCGTGGCCATTGTGGGATTACTAGAAAGGAATAGAAAATGCAAATGTTTGCTCTGGAAGGGAAAGACTCATCATGACCTCCTAGTAGACTCTAAATCAGTATTGGTATTTGTCTCCCTCAACCTCCATAGATCTTTGCATCACTTTTCAGAAACTCCCACCTTATCCAGAGGGACCAGTTTCAACTCTTACCATTCTGCAGCAAGTATACCACAAAGGTATGTGATTTCCAGGCACTTTTCATCCAGAGAAATCATTCTGTGCAACAACTGATTTCATGAAATTATAAATAGGCACTTGAGAAATACTTGTATGGTTGAGAGAATTAATAAAGGATTTCTAAACACCAACTTGCAAGAAAGTGAGAGTCGATGAAATTGGACTAAATATCTGTTACAGGGCAAATGGTTAAATAAACTATAGGTCCACCCATTTGATGGAATTGTGTACAGCAATGAAAAGGATAGGTAGAGTTATATACACTAACTTAGAATGGTATTCATGTCATATTTTTAAGGGAAAAAAAGCAAGATGCAGAAAAATATAGAAAGTATATTAGCATTTATAAAGTAAACAGTGAAAACTACAAAGCAAGTTTACAACTATAGATAAAATGTCTGAAAGTTACATATAGATTTACCAGGAAGGAGGTCAGAATTGTGAGGTTACTAGGGGGAAAAAAGAGACTTAATTGTAATATTATAATTTTTTTAACATGATGAGTATCCATTATTGAAAGATTAAACATAAATAGAAAGTTAATGGTCCTGAAAATATGACAAGTTGATCCATTTTTACTTTTTTGGTCACAAGACTGTGAACCTTAGACCATGTCTCAGCGACATTTTGTACCTTAGGTGCCCAGTAGAAAGACTAGAACATGACAGATGCTCCATAAATATTTGTATAAACGGTGAAATTTGTACCAAGATATCCATAAGATAACAGATTAAACTTTCATGAGTAATTTAGATTTCTCACAGGAATTATTTTCTCCCTTGAACCTCTGATATATTACCAAGTGATTAGCACCTCCAGGTCTCCAGCTTTTTCCTAAGGTTACGACATCCAAGTGATGCCATTTAAGGCCCACAGTGAGGATTCTTGGCTTGTCTATTCTCCCTTGATGAAATCAGGAGCAAAGTACAGGTTCCTACTTCACAGGAGAAAGTGTGGACACAAGATTAGGAGGTGTCTGGTAAATGGACCTCTCCAGTGTGACTATAGGTGGTGGTTGTTGGATGTGTGAGTGGCCAAATAAACGAGCTGTAATTTATCCAATTTAAAAGAAGTGATGAAAGCAAAATTATTGTAACTATCTCAAATGAGCTCCTTAGCGTAGCATGTAAAATAAAGGCAAATGTAAACTTCAACAAAAGAATCTAGCAAATGTAGGAAAGCCTCATCAAAAGTTCTGATTCTGGGGCCTCCCTGGTGGTGCAGGCGGTCGAGTGCCGTGCTGTGAAGCTGTCCACAGCCTCTGCAGCGCGGGTTCAGAGCAACCCACATGGCAAGCAGACCTCTCCTATCTCACCCGCTGCTCCCCTCAGCAGTGTATTTCATCAGTCTGCCTGTTCTGTTCCCCACTCTGTCTCTGGTGAATCCTCTCACCCTCCCGCACCTCTGGCCTGTACCCTGGCTCTTGTATAAATAAAAAATAAATCTTTAAAAAAAATTTAAAAAAAAATTCTGATTCTGATAGCATCCCTGAGTTCTTAAAGTCATAGTTACCAAGAAGTATGTTGGGAGTATGTTGGAATATGGAGATATAATTTCCAGATAGCTGATGGTTATCATTTTAAATGTCAGGCTGAGTGAAACAATTTGATCAAAGTACTTGTTTCTCAGTCAAGTCCAAAAAACCACAGAATCCATTTAAACCTTAACTAGGGACTTAAAATCATTATTTATAAACATCAGCCCTTGTGATCTGCATTTAGTGATATCCTCAACAGCCTTGTGGAGCTGATGATACCCCAGACTGACTCTTGTAAATATTCTTCTCTCAATCTTCTGATTAGTGTTGTTTTTTTTCTTTTTCATCTCTTGCCATCAACTTCCGTTTCTTTGTGGTTATCAGTGCGCTATCTCTGTCTACTATTCAAAGTCTCCCTGCCCTATCTAATTGAATGTTTGCATATTATGAAACTGAGTCAAATAAATAAAATCATTAATATTGCATATAAAATACAGGCAAGAATTCCCTGAAAGGGAGTGACAGACTCCCTTAAGTAAGTGTGGATGAGCCCTAACAAATGTACCACTTCTGTCTATCCAGATTCCTCTTTCACACAATTTCTGCAAGGTTGAGTTGTTAGAGTTGACTAGAAAAAAAATGGCTTTTAGTTAATTAATGTTACTGGATAAAGATATTCATCCTTTTACTGCAGCATTCCTGAATGGCTGGAATTTTGTGAAAAAGATCCAGTGGAGATTCTCTTGGATCTAGGTTTTGGTGCTGATGAGCCAGACATCTGCACACAAATCCCAGCCAGATTCCTGGGTTGTGCCTCTGCAGCCAGAGGAATCAACATTTGTGTCTTCCTTGAAGCTCAAAAGCAGCGAATGGACATAGAAAACCCTAACTTGTATGGTAAGTGAGGATCGGGTGCATTTGAATCTCAGATGGATGAGGGGTCAGATGAGTCACAGTATTCAGAGGGCTGGCCTGAGGTCTATGTGCAAAAACAATCAAGCCCTTCATTGCAGTGACTTCAAACAGAAAAGGTTGTCTTTGTCACACTGTGTGTCCACATCTAGCTGGCGTGTATGTTGGGGATGTCAGGAACTACTCCTTGTTATCCTCACTCATGGACTTTAAAAAGTCACTGGTTTTAGTGACAGGGAAAAGGTGGAAATGGAATTTTTTTCCAAGGTTTGATCACTTTTTAAATTTTTATTTTAATTTTTGACAGTAATTTTCATGCCTATATAACTTTGGGAATGGAAATAGAGAATCATACTTGGCTTTTAAATTCTCCCACTCAGAATTTCCACATATCAAGTCTGGCTAGATTTCATGGTCCAAAATAAGCCAAGTGGCCACATTTACCTCTAGAAGTGAAAATGTACAATTCTATCATATGCCCAGAAGAAAGAAAGTAGGCAACATGTACTGTGAACACATACCCAGGATCTGACAAAGCCTATCATGAGTTAGAAGGTACAACATTAATTTCTTCATAGATAAGGTTTAGAACCTTACTCCTTCCTCTATAAGCTGCTTGTGGCAGTTATCAATCAGCCATATCTCTAGATTTGTGGATTAAAATGCTGAAACCTTTTAGGTATCATACATGCTGCTATTTTTCCCCCACTGGTGGCCAAAGGATGCTTTTCTGTAGGACATTAGTAATGACATTCTTGGGGTACTTACACTGTACTCAAGTGATTTGGAGGAAAGATGCCTTGCAGTTGGCAGTTTCCTCCTGCAGGATTTGTCTTAAACGCTGAGCTGTGCTCTCAATCTCCACAATGGGGCGTTGTGCACTGTATTCAAAGTCATTCAGTTTCAGAACCACTCCTGGAGGCACATTAAAGAACATCTCTGTTGAGTAAAGTTGGTAGACTTCTGAGCTGGGGGAAACAGCAAATTTCTTTCTGAAATAAATTCTCTTCAATAAATAAATTCACTGAAAAGAAAGTCAAGTGAGATGAGGTGTTTCTCTCAAACAAATATCTGGAATAGAAATTTCAGTTAGATCTTTCATCTTTGTTTCTGTTTTCCCTGTTTTCATGTGGATAAAATAGGTCTCAAAAATCTCAGCAATGAGATTGAAAAGAAAACAGGTATGTCAACCAAAAGAATTTGCAATCTAACAGTTCTTTACATTTTAGAAGAAATTAATAGCATTTTTTTTGTTATCTCCTTCTCCAAGTCACACAGAAATGCAAGTTCTTTGATCAAATCTTTATTTGGGCAGAATAATAACACTTACCAATATTTGAGGAGTTTTTGAGCTGATCTGTGAAGTAAACATTTTACAGATGAAATTGACACATGGATTATAGGACAACCAGGATTTGGCCCCTCATCAGTGCTTGCTCACCCACTCCATTTTCTCACCACCTAATGCTTCGCTGCTAGTGCACAGTAACTATTCTCACTCAACACTTATGCATACATTATTGATTCAAGAAAGCTGGGAAGGTCAAAAGTAAAAGAAGCAATAATAAAATTAGCTGACTCTTTAAAGGCATAATGAAAATATCTCTCATTCAAAGTCAATACAAAAAGCTCTAACTTGGGGGCATGAGAATCAATTGTTTCATTGTTCAGTTTACCCAAAGGCACAAAAAATAAAACCCACTTCAGACTATAGTGCGCTCTGAATTGACTTAGCCAATTAAATTGATTGGTTTCGTCTTAATCTAAGTATAAAACCTGCTATGGGATGGAAATGAAAACAATCATAAAGGAGGAATTATGATTATATCATAACCTCAGGCTCACAAAACAGATTTAGTTTCAACTAAAGCTGAATGTAGGAGGAAAATGTAATCAGAAATGCTTCTAGAGCTCCTCTCTGCCTTGAAGGAATATGGCAGTCCTCTTTGAGAAACCCATCACATTTGTGGAGTGGATATTAGTCCATATATTCTCCATTCAGGTAGACATAAAAATATGCTCATGGACAAGTCAGTAGGATTTCTGTGATGGTACAAACAGAATAGAAGATAGACAGATCTCACCAGTGTGGTCCTGTGTGATGTCTCTGGGGCTGAGAGAAAGCAGTGCAATAAAAACAAAACGTTCTCAATTAGCATGGCCTCTGCGCAAGGATTACACGCAAATTGTGAAGTGTTCCATATTTTTAAAATAAATTATAAAGTGTTGTTGGTTAAAAAACAAAAAAGTTCTCTATTACCATGCTTTCATTATTTAGAGATGCCAAAAATATTTTTTTGCCACTTGTTTTAACGGTGATACATTGCATTAAGATTTCTCTATATGCTATTTAATTCATGGTTTGTATATTGGCTAGATGACTGAGGTCAGACCTTCCAGAAAGACTTAGAAGAGATTTTGGTTTGTTTGGAAAGGTAAATGGGTTTTCACATTCATAATGATCTTTTCTTAGAAGACTGAAGACAATATATTCTCTTCTTGAGTCTCACACCTTTATCATTCTAACAACTGAAATTTAGGCAGTATTCAGATTTTACAATAGATGTGAAATCTACATAAGACAGGTATTAATACCCTCATTCTTCAGTAAAGAAACTGACCATTAACTGTGTGTCTGGCACAGGACTAGCTTAGCAACACGTATCTATTAATTAATTAACTTTGTGGTCACATTTCTAGTCTCAGGTAGAGTAGTTTACCTGAGATTTGGCCCAGGCCTCCTGATACCATGTGCCACAATCTTTCCATACACTCAGGTGACAGCATAAATGGAGACAATGAAGGTGAAGATGAGGATACCTATCACCTAACTTGCGAAGGAATACTCAAGGTCACCCATGTGAAAAGAACTGGATTTACTCTTTTCCATTTTGTTGAACTCAGGTTTAGTTTAATACAAGATCAAACTCAAGAGTCACTCATGTTTATGTATACAGCCATAAATCTATGAAAATATGTGAATCTATATTGTTATGCATAATCAACTAGATATAAGTAACAGGTATCTCCTGTTTTTTGAAAGTTAAAATTATGCCACTTTTTTTTTTTTTTACAAAAGATCTCTGTTAGTACAACAGGTTTTCAAATTATTTCATTTTGCTCAACTTAGTTTTGTTGTAACATTGATGAGAAGAAAAGAATTTTGGTTGATGTTGAAGGAAATGATGTCATTTGAGAACCTGGTTCCTTCTTTGTCTTTTCACTTAAAGTTGCAGTTTCCAAGAATTTATTGAGGATTTACTGTACTTAGTGTCACTAACCAAAAAAATTCAACGATTATTGCTTTTACAACAAAAGCTGCAAAGAATGATATCAGGAATCAGCATTTGTTCTGATACAAATGCTGCAGCTGTTCTAGAAGCAGCGACATCTTGAGCAATGACAGCAGCACTGCTAAGCTCCCTCCCCAGTAATTATCCATCCAGGTTGTGTATTTATCAGATCATTCCTGATTTTACTATATGTGAGTGTTATTTTAGGTTTTATGTGCATGACTTGGTAGGTTATTTTTGGAGTCTGAGATCAATTCTAATATTTTGTTATAAATTAATAGTAATTCTTCACTTTACATTATTTTGTTTTATAGAAGTTTCCATGTGAATGTTTTCAAGTTCCTTGGGAGTGGGGTAATTCTTTATTCACATTTCCCCATAACATGTTATTGGAAATGAATAGGGAGTCGATTCCATAACCAAAGTTTAAAATCTCCCCCATTTTGAAAATCACATGTGCTAACCATCCTCCTTAGTTTTGACTACATTTAAAAGACCCAGTCTGCAAACTGTGTGTTTTTTGTGTGTTTCAGGTCGTTTCCAACAGTTAAAAATCCTGGACCATGTGGCCAATGCCTTCTCATCTTTGCTGGATGATGTTAATGTCCTGCAGAACAAATCCAAAGAAAAAAATGGGGGAGAGAGTGTACAAAAATCCTCAGCCAGTGGGTCCAAAGAACATCGAAAAAGAATGGGCAAACTTTTCAGGAGAGCTTCCAAACAGAGCAGAAAGGGGAATTGTAGCTCAGAAGGGTTGGAGCCATTGAAGATGAGAGACAGATCTTTCATCACCTCTGAAAAATCAGTGGAGTTATCAGCATCAAAAAGTAACTATGGCCAAAGTCATTTGTCTCAATTAGCTGAGCTGTCCTCTCTCCAAGCCTGTGATGACTTGACACCTTGTCATCCCCCCTGGGCACCTCTGACCAAGCAGTGGTCTCACTCGTCCAGGGCAGCCAAGCAGACTCCTCCTTGCTATGTACTTAATGGCTCAGCCAAAGAGAGAATACGAAAGGAGAATTCAATTCAGACTGACAAGCTCAAGAACTTGTTTCGTTGTGCGGGCAATGCCCCAGACTCCTTTGAAATGGAAGAGGTCAGTGTTATACCTAAGTACTCAACTTTTAAGGGAAATAACCTTCACCAAGACACTTTTTTTCCTTCCAGCCCACCATCTTTCAATCACTCAACATTACATCTTACTGTTCTACACTCCTGTTTAGTCCAGGATATTAGTGTCATTCTCATTGATTCCATCATAATTGGGCTAGTATGAAACTACCCTTTGCTTTTTCTTATTCTTTTTCATTTTCTAGTTCACAATTAAGTCCATAGGTCATTTCTGACCTTGTTTTGCTGTTTTATTATGCAGTTCAGCATCCTGATATCTACTATCTACTTTTCCATGTTTCACTTTCCTTGAGGGTCAGTTCAACTACCTCCCACTAGGTGAAATTGGCCCTGCCCAATCCTCCTCATTCCACAGCCTCCTCGGCAGGGAGAGCTTGTTGCAGGGGAGGTAGCGTGTGTGTCCATGACACCTCCCTGATGAGATTGTCAGCTCCTCAGGACCAGGAGATGTGCTTGGAAATATTTCCCCCATGATGCTGATTGCAAGAACTTGGACAAGGAAGCAGGGACTCAGATTTGGTTTTGATTGTAGTCAAATGGCATTTTATTTGCTTGCTTACTTTGGTATTGACGGAACTTGAACACCATCTCACACATATTCATTGCCCCTTCATCCCCACCTTTACTCACACACTAATTTTTACCCACGTTTAGATGACCCTCTCACCCACACTTCTGTCTTTTTATTCAATATAGACATATACTTTTACTTATTTCTCTGTTCTTTAATATAATATAAAAGAAGTACATTATATCTAGACTTCTTCCTCCTTTGAAGTAAATTGTCCACAAGTTGGTGGACATTTTTAGGCACATTTTAAGACCACTTCTCCTTTGGGACATTTATACTCCAGGCACTCTTGTGGGATCTATTTACAAACTCTGCCCTCAAGGGAACCACAATACAGTGGCAGGGAGAGCACAAAAACGAATTATATGGACGGGACAGTGACAGCCTTACGAATGTACTTTCTCAGTCACTATGTAGAGATGCTTAGTTATCTGGGAGTAAGTAAGAAATTAAGTGATTCTTGACCAGTCAGTGGACTTGTGGAAAATAAGGTTTATACATAATCCTAAAAAAGAATAGGAGTTAGGTGAATATGACTATTGGTAGCCCTCTCCATCCCACAAAGATATAAAAATCACCTCAAAATACAATCATGCAACACTTAAGGACAGATAGCTTCTAAGAATGCATCATTCCGTGATTTCATTGTTGTGCAAGTTTAGGGTGTAAATATACTAACCTCAAAGCTACAGTCTCCTACACTGGAGGCTATCTGGTCTGGCCTATGGAACCACCACTGTATTTACAATCCGTTGTTAACCACAATGCTAAGCAACACATGTCTGTATAGAGCTGCTTATGATCCTAAGGTCTATGTGAATACGTTTAGGGATGCGTATATCTTATGTCAAAAATAATTTTAAGAACCTCAAAATAGGCATCAGAATTTAAAATAGTAGCTTAAAAGGAATAAAAATTACAAAGGGTTAAACAAAAACAAACCTGTGGGCGTTGCTCAGATTTAAAAATGTGAGGTGACACTAAAAGAGTGTATCATTTAGTTCATCTTGCAAAGACTATTTAATTACAAAACTAATAGTTAAACTACTATAATATATATTAAGAAAACATGCAAATCACTGGTCAATCTGCTATTTAAGGTAGGATCCAAACAAGGAGTTTCACCAAAAGCCAGACCATTGTCAAGTTTCAATAGACAACACTGTGCCCTTAGTTAAGTTTCTTCTGCTTCACTTAAAGGCACTAAAATGTTCATTGTATGCCAATTTATATGTGAATGCACAGGCAATGGTAATTACATTCAACATAAACATCCAAGGACCTCCTTTCAAATACTCTCAAATGATAGTAAAATTTGAAGAAAAGCAACATATTAGTATAAATCGGGAGAGAACAAACTCAGACATCAAAGAAAACAAACTCACATGGGTTTTTTGGCACATAGCAGGCATTCAATACATAACTGTTGTTGATGCGTAAATTAATGTAAGAAGTATTTGATAACATTGCTTTAGTGTGTGAGCGGCTTCCATAGAAAAACAGGATATTCTGTTGAATTTTTTAGTCAACTTAGTTAATAGTGTTTCTTTAATATTTTTGTCCAGATTGCTTATGTGTGAGGCTACATGTGTATTTAATGCAGACATAGCCTTAAAAAAAAACTTACTACTTGAATTTTGTTTTTCTGAAAAAGTATGCTTCAAATACTACCTCCTCATCACACAGACTGGAGTAAAAATATTTGTTTCACTCAATACCCATGGATAAGTAAATGAAGCATGGGTAGGTTGCATCTTAAACAGCAGCTAATGCCAGATTTAGTAGTCATTTTTTCAATGGCAAATTAAAAATCTAATTATAAGAAATGAAAAATATGTGTGAAATTGGCAGATTTTCATGACATTTAAAACATGAGCCAATGTATTTAAATATCTAGATATCAGACTTTCAACTGTGATTGGCCAAATTTGGCCTCCAGATCAATCTCTGATGCTTTCCCTAAAGTCCTACTAAAAGGCTGAGTTTGGCAATATTTGACTCACTTCTCAAAATTATGATTCCAACAAAATTGTACATAGATTTTTAATGCAAAAATCAACATATTTTTGTGTTTAATCTTACTTAGTGGAGTCGAATCTGTTCCTTTCCCTTTTAATTCCCAAACATATTAAGGGAATTTAATATTTATGAAATATCTGCAACTGTAAACTCAAGGTAGGATGTTTCTTTATATTGGCAATAAACCATCTTTAACTGTCCCTGCTGCTTGCCTATAGGGGTCCTGATCACAAGAAGTCTCCTATAAGAATGTTACCTAGTTATTAAGCCCAGGAATAAATCTGGCTTACACTTATAATTGTCAGAGCTTTTTTGTTTTGTTATTTTTTCAACAGACAAACGTAATGTAATTGCAACCCATGGATTTTTCTCCATGATAATGGTCACAGTCAAAGAATTGTTTTATTATACTTGAAAATTTATATGATGCACTCTGATTTGAGTTGCAAAGCCAATAAAAACAACATTAAGAAGTATGTCTATACAGTAACTTCTTTTAAAAATAGAGATGAAGGAGTAAAAAAGGAATAAATATTTCTTCTTGCATTGCTGAGCTATAAACTCGTAGTCTTCTCTTTATTCTGGGTTAAAGGTCATTGTGGGCATAGATGCCATCGTATTTAAAATGTTTACATTCCTGTAGTTAGTTTTCAATATTCAGATATCAATCCCAAGTAAATAGTGTGACATGTACAAATAGATGTAGGTACAAGAAATCCCATCTCAGCATTATTTCTATCTGCAAAATTTAGAAAACATTCTAACATTGGAAGAATCATTACATAAATTAATATACCTTCAAAATGCAGCCTATTGTGTAGTCATTAAGGAATCTGTTTCCAAAGAAAGTTTAAGAATTTTTTATGAAAAAAAAATTTTTTTACCTTTTTTAAAAAGATTTATTTATTTATTTATCTATTTATCTATTTATTTATTTATTTGTTTATACAAGCACTGGGTACAGTCAGAAGCACAGGAGGGCGAGAGAATTCACCGGAGTCAGAGCGGAGAGCAGAGCAGGCAGAAGGACCAAAGTACACTGCTAAGGGGAGCAGCAGGCGGCAGGAGAGGTCTGCCCCCTTGCCTGGCGACCGGGGATTGAACCGGCGCAGCAGAGGCAGCTTCACAAGCCAACACTCAACTGCTGCACCACCAGGGAGGCCCCTTTTATGAAAAATTTTGAAAAAAATTTAGTGAAAATCAGCTATATGACTATCTCCAGAATAAATATATTAAAAAGAAAATAGGGAAAAAAAAAGGCACTCCAAAATACTATAGTAACTACATCCTCCTCTTCTTTAACTTTTTGGGTTTAGTAAGTTTCTATAGCAAGTTATGTTACTATTATTAAGTAAATATTTATTTTTTCAGTAATAATTATATTTTTATTTACAGTAGCATTTACTAATTTCTAAAAAGAAAATTTTATAAATAAATTCCATTCTATCAATTTGAAAATTAAATTTTCTTTGAGTTCTATGCCTCCTATAGCAACTATGTTATAGATTTTCTGAATTTTTCATAAATTTTCTAAGTGATAAATCTCTTGGGGAAAATACTTGCTTTCTCCAAAAATTCTTTGGGAGCAAAAAAAAATGTAATAATAATAATATTCCCTCTCTTAAACTCCAGTCCTTTGAATCTTTATTATGTCTTTATGTGCTACCTGCCTGCAGAAGACTACAAATTATTGGAATTCAAAAATCATATTCACTCCTCTTAGCAGTATCCAGTGGACACTTATTATATGTTGATAAAATTATTGAAAACTTATTTCTAACACAATTGATCCATTTTGGTGTCTCAGGTCCAGAGCTTTGAAGAAGAGACTGGTAATCCTCTTGACGTGACTCCAGGAACTGAAGGTAAGAGTTCATTAAGGTGTGCAGCTTCATCAATGGTCCTCCAAAAGGAGAATGTAAATAATTGGTACTCAAATTTCTTAATATGTAGAATTTAAAATATTTCCATGAGATACCTTACAAACTACTACTATCTCTATGACTGTTTTTTTAAAAACCTAGTAGCAATGTAAATATCAATGCAAATTTCAAAATATTTCCCACAGCAATGTTGGCTATCACTAGGGCTAACATAATAGGTGGCTTGTCTAATATTAACTCTCTATGTTCCAACCAGGATAGAGGATTGGACATAGGCCCGGGGTTAACTTGATGAATATGTTCTTACTCCTACTACTAGCAGCTTGTTATTGCATAAATCTTGCCATTTTACTGGGCCTCGGTTTTTCCGTCTGCAACAAAGAGATAAGTGTACAAAAAAATATTTTCAAATTTCAGGTTTTTTTCCTTTCAGTTTCATTGAGATATAATTGAGAAATAAAACTGTTTTAGGGGTCCTGCTAGTGAGTTGGCTTCCATATATTGTTAAGTGACTACCATAAGCTCAGTAAACATCTAACACCTCATATAGTCACTAAAAGAAAAAAGAAAGGACTTTTAGAATCTACTCTCTTAGCAAATTTCAAATACCCCACATAGCAGTGTTAGTTATAGTCAACATGTTCTACATTACATCCCCAGGATCTACTTATAGCTAGAAAAAATTGCCTTTTTTGCCTACTCCCTACCCCGTCTCTGGAAACTTGCAATCGTCTTTTTAGCTATGAGTTTGTTTGTTTGTTTGTTTGTTTTGTTTTGTTTTTCATTCAACTCCCCCACCCCTATCTAAGTGAAGATACTTTTTTAAATTCCCTGTCATCACTTATATTCTAAATTATATTATAATTTATGACGGTATTATATGACCGTCATATCAAACTCTCAGTGGAAACAAGTTGCATGGCTAAAACTTTCAAATAATTTCTTAGAATGATGCTATATCATCCTGGACAACAGGGAAGGGAGCCTTTCTCTACTCCTGGTACTTATGCCCCCACTTAGCCATCACTATGATTCAGTGTTTCCATGATCTTATAACAGAGCTAGAAGTAGCCTGGGATTAGTGAAGCAAAATAAAGCAGATGAAGCTAGTACATTTCCTGGAAGAAAATATGCAAATTTTTAATTTAATTTAGTGTGGTGTCAAACACATCTTTTTCATTACAAAGTGTATGTATGGGCCTCATTTTGCTAAATGCTGTTTAGAAATTATGCATTAGTAATTATAGGGTCCCGCTGATTACATAAATTGTTATCCTGCTCTTTGAAGTAATTACCACATAACCTGCATTGAGGTTTATAAGACAAAAATAAGCATCTGTTTTCCATCTAATTGAATGCTTCTCAATGAAGCTAGAGGTCCCCTTGCCAATAGAAACTGCCTTCCTTGACATTCAATTATGAGGTCTGCACATATCATGTAAGACACCCCAATTATTCCAAAAAAATTATTTGGGAAGTTAGGCAAAAATATTATTCTACATTTGATTTCAAATTGAGAGAGCAAATAAGAATGTGAAAATTAACCTAATGGAGATTTTATTAATGGGATTTTATTACTTTCAAAAATAATGTTGCTAACCCAAGAAAAATAGTAGTAGGGGTTAAGTAATAAAACTACTTCACTTAATGGGAAAAGGGAAATATTTGATATTTAGTATTTAATATTATTGCTTTGATATATAAAGTTAGATGATAGCTAGGAAGACAGATAAGAATTTTTAACTTAAAGTTCAAAAGATGACTTCCTTCAAAAAGTAAAGGCACATAGACTGTTTTGATCAACTGTATATGGTAGAAGTGCTTCTTTCATTGCATAGCCCTTCACCTCCTTGGCTTAAACTTCCTGGCTTTTGAGATATCGGTTTTTGGAATATTTCCTTTGGAAACCCAATTCTCATATTGTAAGACATACAAGCCATAGAATGCCACATGCAGGCCCTCTTATGGACAGACTTGAACGAGCCCCATGTGAACGGCTACCTTAGACATCTAGAGGAGTCAGATTTTCAGATGTCGTCTGGCTATAACTGCATGAGGGAGTCCAAAAGACAGCCACTTAGCTAAGCCAAAGTAGCTCACAGAAGCAGGGAGAGCACAGAAACCAATTACATGGGGCCTCCCCTGGTGGCTCAGGCGGTTGAGCGCGGCGCTGTGTGGCTGTCCGCAGCCTCTGCAGCGCCTGCTGGATCCCAGCTAGTTCCCAGCCTGCCAGGGAGGGTCCCACATGGTGCGGCAAACCTCTCCTGTCGTGCCCGCTGCTCCCCTCAGCAGTCAATATGCCTGTTCTGTTCCCCTCTCTGTCTCTGATGAATCCTCTCACCCTCCCACACACATCTGGCCTGTACCCCGGCTCTTGTGTAAATAAATAAATTAAAAATTAAAAAAAAAAAGGAACCAATTGTATGGAAGGGACAGTGATAGCCAATAAATTACTGTTTTAAGCCGCATATATACATGTAGTAGATGAAGGCACAAGATGAACTCTTCAAATACCTTTAACACTTAGGTAAAAAACATTTTAAAGACTATATTTCTTCGAGTCATGCACAATATTCCGAATATTGAAAAGGTCTATTTTAGCATTTTCCTAAATGAATTCGAATAAAATGACTTCTTATAAAAGATGGAAACTCAAGGCCACAAATATATTGTCCTCTTTTCACTTCGGAAAAATTATCACTGAAATGATCAGGGTAAAATGTATGAAGCAGAAGAATATCATGGGGAGAATGGTAATCTATGACTTTCCAGGCAAAAAAAATACTGATTACTAACAAAGTGAAAAAACCAAGCATCTCATTAGCAACACTAAGTGACCAATGGAAACAAACAAATACACATGTGATTTGGAATTAGAAAAACGTGAACCAATGACTTCATTTCCATCCATACTCCTTGTATGCAAGGACTGCATAAAGTCATTCTCCAAGGAATTGAGAAGTATACCCTTCACCACTTCCCTAGGACAATGTCCCGATGATTTACATATTACTCAAAGTAAAGTACTCTAGGATAACTGAACTAGGATATGCAAAAAAGTGAACTCCACTCAAAGTAATAGCAAAACATAGTTAAAATTTAGTCAATTGTGAAAACTTTTGGAAAAAATAAAATGTGACAAAATAATGGGATGAAAAATAAAAATTCACTAAAGATTTGCTTAAATTCCATTGTTTTCTACAAAGTTACTGAAGAAAGTTAACTGTGAAAGGTTGCACATAGGATGAAAGAGAAATAAAGGCAAAAACTAATCATTGTTTATGATATTAATACCTGATAAAATATTCTTCAAGGCAAAAGAAAATTTTAAAATAAAAAGACTTAAATAAAAATTATAAATCCCATTTAACAGACATGAAGTACTATATACTAAGTAATTAATATCCATCTATAAAGACTGGTTTTGTGACTGTAAAAAGGCTATGTACATCAGTAACAACATCATATTAGATTAATGAGAAAAAGAAATACATAGATAGCCCAAAGAAGAAATACACAAACTGCAGAAAAATGGTATAACAGATCAACTAAAGAAATGCAAACTTAAAAATAATGATAACATGTTACACCTATCATGTTATCAAATATTTGAAGTTTTAATCATATCAAGTAACTGTAAAGCGTGAAACAAACACTTGGTTGGAAGTTAAAATGTCATCATAACTTGAAGTTAATTTCAAATTGTTCAATTTGAAACAATATGGTACCTATTTGAGGCAACTATTGCAGTTCTGGAATTTAGCTTATCAATAGACACACAAAAATTTTCTTTGCAAAAATGTAATAACTTAAGGCAGCCTAAATGCCCACAATTACATGTGGTATAGCCTTACATTAAAAAATATTCAGACATTATTTTGAAAAATGAGACAGAGATTTATGTGTAGATATAGAAAAGTCTCTGAGATATAGAGCTGTTAAATGAGATAAGATATGTGTAAGAGTCTTTATTGATACCGCTCTGTATTAAGAGAGTATCTATTTCTGTTGGGAGGTAGAGGTGGAGGGGGAATGGCAGAATGCCTCTGGAAGAAGGTAGACGCAAGTGCTAAAGGTAGTATTTTAACAGAAGGGAGACTAAAATGCTTGAAATTAATTGGCATCTTTTAATTTTCTTTTGTTATGATGTGCATATGTTATTTTCACAACACTACTTAGCAAAAAATTCTGCAATACCATGGGAAACTGACATAATAAAAATGGGAGACTTTTTGTTGTTGTTAATTTTCAGCTCATAACAACAGTCCAAACTTTTTATTTTAAAAAAAATTAATAAAAGTTATATATATTTAAGGTGTATAACATAATGATTTGATATATCTAAATGGGGAAATGGTTGCTATTGTTAAACTAATTAACCTAAAATTCTACACATAGTTACCTTTTTAAATCTGATTAAGAACCTGAAATCTACTCTTTTTAGGAAAATTTTAAAATTCAACAGTATTATTAACTATAGTCATCATGCTATAACTTAGCTCTCTAGATTTGTTCACCCTACAGAGCTGCAACCTTTTACCCTTTGGCCAACATCTCCTCTCAAATTAGGATATTTTAACATTCTCTTCAGTCTTTCACAAATCAAATATGAAACAGTAAAAGATGATAGAAATGATATCAAAGTTGTAATGAGAACATACACTTAATAGAAAATATTACAATAACCTTGGATTATTCATTAAAATATCTAACAATTTATAAATATGAAGATTAACTCACATATTTCTTAAATATAAACACATGTATTAACTACTTTGCCAGAGATTTAAATGCAGAAATATTTAATTCAGTAATTAAAAATATAAGCAACACTTTTCACCTCCAAAGAAAAATACCGAATCCAGGACATGGGGACTAAATCTTCCATCCTAAAAAAAAGTACAGAAAATGTTATGTTAAAACTATATATTTTGATCATTTGAATAATGATGAACATTTCATATCAAATGGAAGAACTCACG